AATGGCCTAGGGAATGAGAGCTGATAGATGAATAAGCAACAATTGAAATTGGGGAATGAAAGGACTGCCAAACACTCGTCTGACCAGCTTTTTAAATCAAAAGAGCAATTCGGTACCTACAGATATGCATCATTAAAGTAATTATGTTACATTGAAATCTGCTGCTGTTGTAAAAGTGAGAAAAAAAGCTCCCTCCCCCATCTCTCTCACCCACCCGTCACTGTCCCTTTCTCGTCTCCGTAGTTCAGGTGCATACCATGAAGTAGAGTCATTCCTGTTTGTCTTATAAGACTGGTCAGGCAATTTTATTAGTTGCTCCTCTGGCATTCCTAGCTGGGGGCTGATGCACAAGAGCAAGTAGACCTGGAAAGCCCTAATGGTTCCCGAAGAATCTTTCTCCGTGATGCATCACAAAAATCCTTTGACCGTACATAGGCTAAGACAGCCATGCATAGCCTTTTAGACTAATGGCCTGGCGTTCTGCAGTTAATTCACATTTCACAGATAAAAAACGAAAGAAGATGCTTGTATGTACACATTATATCATATGCTATCCTTTATTTTATTCATTGTACCTATTTTCTTAATATACCTGCTGCCACGTCTTTCACCCAGCACCAGTAGTTGCAGTTTCAGACTATATACTGCAGGATACCAAAAAGGGGTGGGCAAAAATACTCTGCAATTGCTAGGGGTACAGCGAGCCAGCGCCGCTATCTGTGCATTTTCCAACCCTGACGTGCTCCGCAGGAGGGGGGCCCACTGGTAAGAGTTGAGGGACACTTGGGTCCGTCAGTGCTTAAACTTGTGACTTCTCATCAACCTCAGGTCTGAAGTGATGCGAGCACACGGTAGCCTCAACTCCGTGTTACCGGCCTCCGCATTGCTGGTCGAGTGGCCCTGCTGGGATGGAGCTGGCAGTGCCTCGTCGCACAGCCGGGGCTGCGTTACTGTAAAGATCAAAGGCAACGGTCCCTTAGGAGTCAGGTTTGAACGTCTGTTCTGGTTGAGAAGCTCATGTTAAGATTCCCCTGTCTTTCCTTGTTCACAGATACACAGAGTCATGCCTTTCTTAATTGCGGATGTTTAATAAAACTCAAATAAAAGGAAAAACTTGTTTCACTTTGATATTTTTTTAAGGCCAAGAGCAGATCCATAGTTTGCAAGTAATGCTGCTCCTTTATCCAATTTTCTTCATAATTACAGTAATGTTAGGGGCACTAGGGCACCTTACAGAAGCCTTAAAAGAAAGCTAATGGAAGCAGATAGCTCTCTGTCTGTGTTTCGTGGGTCTCTATGTTTGTACGTGAGAGTGTATGTGTGAGTCCAGTGTTAAAGCATGCAGGTTGAGCATGGAGACAGGTTGAGGAGGGCCCACACCTCTTGGAAATATGCTTGTTGCTTTACAATGTATGTAAACTATTCTCCAGCATAAATGCATTCATACTTTAATAAAAAACAAAAAGTTTTGAGTTAAAGCGTGGGAGTTCTAAGCTGTCTTTCCAATGCAAACTCCGTGGTTTTGTTTTATGTGTGTGGGTTCTGTGTTCATTTCATTTAGTGGAATGAAAATGTTAATTTATTTCCATTTAGTATTAGATCAGTCTCCATGAGAATTACCTTTAATATTTTAAAATTATTTTCTTTTAAATATTTAGGTAAATTATTGCTGTGAGATTTTTTTTTTTTTTTTACCTTTGCTGTGTGTGGACATGATTTATAATTTCTGCTTTGCAGGAGGTGGCAGAGACACCCCCCCACACACACCTGGCCGGTTGAAAGGAGCTCTGCTGAGCGGGAGCAGGACCTTGCCCTGCTTACAGAAATCACAGAGAGACTCAGGATTGGCATTAGATGGTGGGACGGGGAATAAAACGCCGGGCCGGCAGCTTCCAGAACTGCTTCTCTCTGAATCTTTGCATGATCCAGTGTTTCCAAATACGGCTCTAAAAATGATTTACTTTTTAATTCTCACAAGGCTCATTGGGAAGTGGAGGGTCACGTATGGGCTATATGCTGGTCAAAAAAAAAAAAAAAAAAAGAGTCCTGCCATTTATGTATCTGTCTTTTTGACCAAAGGCAAAATTAGGCAAAACTTCCTTCAACTTTTGACAAATTACTTTCTTTTGCTCGGAGCTGTAATCACGTGTTAGTTTCTTTACTTGTTTGGGTGCTCTGCCACCGAAGCTGCCGTCAATCAGCGTGTGGAATCCCCTGCTTCATCCTCCCAGCCAGATGTCCCTGCTGACAGCGGAGAGGTTTGACCGCGAGTCCCAGTTCTTAACCGAGGGCTGCTTGAGTGTGGTGGGGGGAGAAGGAAGATCCCAGCCCTCCTCACACACAGGACCCGAGATGCCTCCTGCCTGCCCTACAGAGGACTACGGCGGATGATTTGGGTTTGGGATTTCTACTTCTGGAGCAAATACTTAGAAGCGTGGGGTGTGTTTCTGCCGTGGGGGTGGGTGTGATCCTTCTGACTGACACAGCCTGCCCTTCTCACCAAGCAGTCCGGGCCAGGGCACAGCTGGACAGAAACGTTGTCATCATCTTATTTTTAATCCCGGTCTTTTCCTCTAACATGCTGGGATCTGCTGAAAAGATCCTATCTCCCTGAGTCACCTGCAGGTGTGGGTTATGCAAAGGATACCTTTGTTGGGGTTTTTGTTGTGGGCTTTTTTTTTCAGTCTAAATTTCTGCAAACAGTGCTGGCTTTATTTGGGAGCAACACACAGAAACCACAGACGGAAATGCAAAGGGTTGCTCCCACGTGCTTTTATTCTGCACCCTGAAGTGGTGTCTTGCTGCTCCCCTTGTCATGTCTGTGACTGGCAGCATCTGCCAGCAAGAGCCCCGGGCTATGGCGTTACTCCCCCCCATAGCCCACAGCCACGTGGTGTTACCCAGAACAGGAATAATCCGGGAGTGTGATTTTAAGCTCTTTCATCTGCAGATCATTGCCTACGGTGATGCTCCATGTCAGGGCATGGCACCGTGCGTTGACGTTAGCAGCCCCGCGGTGCACTCCCTCGGTGATGGGGATGCAGGTTACTCGGTTGTGGTTTTGGACTGTCGTATTTCACGGCTTGGTGTCGGAGAAATCGATGCTTTTGGGAACACAGGGCTTGCCTGTTCGCTAGTTGCCTACGTGCATTTGGAAATCTGTTCCAGGGTGCCGATTAGGACCCTGAAGGGACCGTTACGCGAGGTGGCTGCCGTGTGTGCAGCCCTTGCTGACCTTGCACTGATTTACAGTGGGTTGGGGAGTTCTCGCAAAGGTATTTGATACTGTGGCACCTGCGATAATTCTCACCATCTGGAGGCTGTGTATTACATGAGAATTTTGAATGATAAAAATAAAATACAAAGGAGAAAATTCTGGTCCTTGTGATTAGAAAATCAGACCCTCTGAAACACGAACCAGATATTTTCTAAGGGTTCAAACATGCAAGGCAATATGAGGGAATGTGAACTCCAGTTTGTGCTAGAAAACATGAGATTTGAAAAATAATCAGTATCATGAGTTTGGATCCTTAGATAATTTGGAATTCAGGCCAAATCCCTTTGCATTATCAATACCAAATGTGTGATGCCATTTGCATGAAGGAGAAAAGCTTTTACTCCTAAATTGCGAGCGTATCTATTATCACTGACTATCAGTTGCCAGTAGATACTGGAATGAAACATCAAGTTAAACTTTTCCTTCAATTAATCTGTTGGAAAAGAAAAATCATAAAGTTTCCATCAGAAGTCACTTCCAGTTGGCTAAAGACTTTCCTTTTCAACTACAAAGAGCCCAGTTTTGGATCTCATTGCATCCCGCTGTGGGTTGACGAGTTCCTTCGGCGTCAGCCAGGAAAACACGTAAGGGATTTCTTTCCCTCTTCTGTTTGTAGGGGAGAGTAGAAAAGGGTCGAATATCTAAGTATGTTAGTAGAACTGCAGAGAAAGTAGAGAGCATTTAGGTCATTACACCTCAACATCAATATGCAACATCACCGGTGTTTTGTCAAGGTGACTTTCGTAATTTTCCTAACTACCTTAACACAAAAGAAAGTAAGTGTTATCCTACGTAGAGTCAGTTTGTTCAGTTTTCAAGCTCTGAAGTCTAAATATCTTCTGTTCATACCAAGTCTTCTGCGGAGCTGTGAGTGAATGATTGTAGCTCAGGAGCAGTTGTGCTGTGGGGAGAGCAACACGGCGCACTAGCGAGCACAGGTTGCTTGAGAATTGCTTGGATGTGTATGGGTTTTTTTTGCCTGTGGGGAAGGAGGAAAGCAGAGAGTAATTTCTTTCATGTTTTAAACTCAAAGGCCCCTAAGAACAGCTTAATGTTTTGCTTTGTTTCAAAAAAACCCACCCAAAACACCAAACAAAAAACCCCCTCTGCAGCTGGTTCCACTCCCTAACTTCCCAGTAGTGAGTGGCTTCATTTTTACATGAAAAAGCAGTTGGACGTTGCCAATGAATTGCATTTAATTTTCCTAAAACCTGCAAATAAATGGTATGTGATTGAGAAACCTTTGATACAGAGGCAACCCCGTATCAGTCTCTTTGAGAACTTTATATATATTTGTTATTCTTGGAAGCTTTGAGACTTCAATATCCGGGTATTAACAGATTTGAATCGTGAGGTTCTCTGTGTGTCTGTATATACGTATGTATGCATATATATACATACATATGTACACACACATCTTGAAACGTGATGCTCGTTAATAAATATTTTCTGTATGATGGACATACGTAGTGGTAGG